CTCAAAATCGTAAATACATATATATATATATATATATATATATATCTACATACTCATAATCGTAAATGCATGTATGTATATATATATATATATATATATATATATATTCTACACACTCATAATCGTAAATGCATGTATGTGCATTCATTCATGCAACCGATAAAAAAGACATTTATATAGATATATAAGTCAATTGCACACTCATAAACCATTGCTTTTTTGCACAAGAGTACAAAATAGGTTTATATAGATATCTCAACTTGAATATCCGAAACTTTGTCATTACACACACCATGGATCTGATTCTCTGATGCTGTTTCTGCTGTAACCTCGCAGTAGGGGTGCCGTGCACAGAAGTGGTGTGTCCCGTCTTGGTTGCGGCCGTTGCTGAGCCCATCTGCTGAGACGACGGACTCTGCAGTGATCCTATTAGCGGCACAGATGAAATGAACATGAGATTACAAACCTATTTCGTATTCTGTACATCGTATTTGGTCCTATCTTCTACTTGCCTCGTGCCATATTTGGCCCTGCCATATTTGTCTTTACTTTCATAGTTGGTGTTCGCGTGAGTCATCCACAAGAGCAATCGAGAGTCTAAAGGAATTGCCGTCACATCAGGATACTCAGGTGCTTTCACAGGGACAGATGCATTGGAATCAGCAACATGTCGGATTGGTACAAACTGGTCTATTTCTTGTTGGTGGGAGATTCTAACAATGTACAGAGATCATGCGAAGGTATTTTACACTGCCATTCGTCTCCGCACTGTGTTCGTGTGGTCTTTTGACTGTGTAGTGGCATACAAGCACATGGCAGCAAGTATGTGCCAGTCCTGCTTATGAGTGGATCCTGTCCACGGTGCATAAACTTAGCCACATTAATGTGATACGTACTAGCTAGCACTGTTGAAGTGCCCGTACGAATGTGCATGCTCGTGTATATAAATGATATAATGAATATATATATATATATATATAACAGAATACTCGTACACTGTGGGTGCATACACGCTACAGCTTACACATGCACTCTCAAGGTACGCTGGCAACCCCACACAACATCACAAACACGCACACAACACATTTATTAAGCCGGCAAACCCACACCCATAAACCCCAGCAATGCACACACTCGACAGATACCACACCCACAAACATACCCCCCTTGACACTCCCCACTTCTGCAAGACGGTCACGTGAGCCAGGGTGGAGGAAGGATGTAGGTGCCAGGAAGGTGACAACCCCCTCCGAATCGCGCCTGAGAGTGGTGCCAGGTTGCTGTCCCACCAAGGCACCCACTCCGGCGTCCATTCGCGAGTTCTTATTACCCATAGTTGTGTGCTAGTTGTCCTGTATTTGCGTGAGTGAGTGAGTGGGTGAGTATGTATGTGGGTGGGTATGATTTTGTGTATGTGTATGTTAGACACAGAGTTTGCGAGAGTTCGAGTCGGTTTGGGGGCGGGTGTTGGCTATGCTTACATTTTGTATGCATGTGTGTGATTTATATGTATGTGTGTGTTGTGAGAAGGCTACCATTCCGTTTCTGTACGTTCAACTAGTAAAAACGAGAAAAAGTGAGGGATGGCGTAGCCTGAAGGGCAGCACCCTATGAGTACTTATACATCATGGGCAAACATGGTCCAAAAACGACACAACCAATATCTAGATTTCATATGCGAACAACCGCATATATACGATGAATATTATATGTAGATGTCACACGAGATGACGCGTGTATATATTTACACTATTTGTAATAATATACCTCTATATATACGTGTGTAGCCTACAAGAAATATAACCCCACATCGTTGTGTACAAGCGTACATTAAAGGGTAAAAAACTCAGCATCATTGTGTCTAACAGTACGCACTCAAAAAAATACATTTTGAAGCATAAAAATATGTAGCCATCGTCATATATTTGAATTACATACTTATATAAGGTATCTATACATATTATACATCATGCT